TCCTAATGATTTTTGGCATAAAAGAAAAATGGATAATTTTGACCCATACAATGTATTGTTGGCTATTGCTACAAATATCCCCCAGCGACTTAACACTGCTTTTGTGCTCCAGGGTCACAAATGTGAAACATGCCCTGATAAACAGCATTAGAGGAATAAACCGCAGCGTTTTTCAGAAATTACACGGTTCGATTTTTCCCCTTCACTTGACATCAGTTTTACCAATGATACCACCGCTGTTTTTTTAGGTCATGTAACATATTTAGCTAAATAAAGATTTCTGGTTAGTCGCTCCATTTGCAGCTGAATAAGCGTGTCTTCAGACAGCGGCTCTCACCTTCTCTCCCAGCTCGTTAATCGCTTTCTCGATGTCTGTGAAGTTCATTCCCTCCACGCCTCTGATCACGGGAACCACGAGCCCCTGAGAGACGAGAAGGAGACGCGGATGAGAACGTGTTCAACACACACGACCCAGAAACAACCCCTAACATAACAGCTGAACTTCATGAAGCTGCTCTACACAGAAAGCACATCTGCACATTAATAGTGAGGATAACCAAATATCTGCTGTCCTTTCACTGCCATGGAAATAATGTCACCAGTCTAAAGTAGGATTTTTTTGTTAATGCTCTTGAAAGAAGTCTCTTCTGCTCACCAAGGATACTTTTATTTGATCAACAATACAGTAAAAACAGTGATATTGTGAAATCTTACAATAACTTTTACATGTGAATATCTGTTCAAATATCATTTATTGCTGTGATCAAAGCTGAATTTTCAGCATCATTACTCCAGTCTTCAATACTTGTATCCAGCAAAGACACATTAAATCGATCAAAAGTGTCAGTAAAGACATTTATAATGTTACAGTAGATTTCTATTTCAAATAAATGCTGTTCTTCTGAACTATTTTATTCATCTGTGAATCCTGAAAAATAAAATACATCACAGTTTCCACAAAAAATGAATGAAGTATCTATTTTTTTCCACAAACATTTAAAAGAAGTCTCTTCTGCTCATCAAGGCTGCATTTATTTGATAAAAAATACAGTAAAAACTGTAAAATTTTGAAATATTAAAACTTAAAACAGCTGTTTTCTATGTGAATATCTGTTAAACTGTAATGTATTTCTGTGATGCGCAGCTGTATTTTCAGCATCATTACTCTGATTATTATCAATGTTGAAAACAGTCGTGCTGCACAATATTTTTGTGGAAAACTGTGATACATTTTATTTTTCAGGATTCACAGATGAACAGAAAGTTCAAAAGAACAGCATTTATTTGAGATATAAATCTTTTGTAACATTATAAATGTCTTTACTGACACTTTTGATCAATTTAATGTGTCCTTGATGAATAAAAGCATTAATTTCTGCACAAGAGGAATAAATGTGTAGGATTTACCTTCGGTGTCGCGACTGCCACACTGATATCCACATAATCCCGATACACGATCTCTTTGGTTGTGTCATCAATGACTACAGATAAAACAACAGTTAATAGCTTTCAATGTATATGTGATTTGTTCTTTACGGGTTATTTGATTAATTACTTGAAAAACACTTTGAAAAAAATCCACAAATCCTATCGTGACCAGTGTCATTTTATTATCACTGCCATACTATTCGTTTTTAATATTTTGAATTAATTTTTATATTTTCTTGTTTTTTCTTGTCTTGTTTTTAATTTTAAAGTTTTAGTAATTTTTAATATTAATTTGTATTAGTTGTATTTTATTTTAGGCAACTAGCTGAAATAAAACTAGTTGAATCATTTATTTCAGTGAACATTTATTTTATTGGAAGCAAAACTAAAAGCATAAAACAAACTTTTGTTAGTTAACTATGACTCTAATGGGTACAGCAACCCTGCAGTTCTATTTCAGCGTTCGGTCAGACACGACCAGCAGGTACATGCTAGTATCCGATGAAGAACATGAAATAGAAAATATGTTTTAAACTTTTCAAAATCCTAAAAGTTTGTTCATTTTCAGGTTTAAATTAGACTTTGAATAACAGATTTACAGTGTGACCCTACTGAATGCCCTGTGTGTGTGTGTGTGTGTGTGCACAGGTTTATCTATTCTGGTGGGGACTTAAACCTGAATACACACAGACTCATGGGGACTTGTGTCACCGTGGGGACCTAAATTGAGGTCCCCATGGGTACAAAAGCTTATAAATCATACAGAATTAGTTTTTTGAGAAAGTAAAAATACAGAAAGTTTCCTGTGAGGGGTAGGTTTAGGTTTGGTGTAGGGCAATAGAAAATACAGTTTGTACAGTATAAAAACCATTATGCCTATGGAGAGTCCCCACAAGGATAGCAAACCAGACATGTGTGTGTGAGAGAGAGAGTGTGTGTGTGTGTGTGAGAGAGAGTGTGTGTGCGTGTGTACAGGTTTATATATCCTGGTGGGAACTTAAACCTGAATACAGACAGACTCATGGGGACTCGTGTCACGGTGGGGACCTAAATTGAGGTCCCCACGGGTAAACAAGCTAATAAATCACACAGAATTAAGTTTTTTGAAAATCTAAAACACAGCAGAAGAGGCTTTAATAATACACCGTATAAACAGTGTCTGTCATGATGCAGCCGCCGGAGCATGCAGCTCTCTATATAGGGGACTTCTTCCCTGCAGAAGATATATATACTGTATATATAACCTGCAGAAAGACAAAGGGAGAGAGAGAGAGAGCGTCTGGAGGGAGGCGTGTGTGTGTGTGTGAGAGAGTGTGTGTGTGAGTGAGTGTGTGTCTGTGTGTGTCTGTGTGTGTGTGTGTGTGTGTGTGTGTGTGTGTGTGAGAACGTACCAGCGTTAACAGCAGGCTGGTCTGTCAAAGCGTAGGCCGCCGCTTTCACAAACACAGACATGAAGCCCAGTTTGATGCCATGTTTCTTCAGGAAAGCATCTTTATATTGTTTCCTCATCTCGGTGATGTTGCTGTCACGGAGGAATACAGAAACACGTAAGACAACGGCAGCCAAGCATTACAACAAGGAACAGTTACTCACTCATGTTGTTCCAACTTTCTTCTGTCAAACAGAGTTGTGGAACTATGACGTCACTTTGTAGGCAAAAACCCGGAAGCGATTTAGCATTTTAGCACGTCCGGTTCCATCGTCCCAGAGTCAATGGGTTTTTTGAATGGGAGTTTGGTTAAATCCCTAAAATAAGGTCCGTGGTTCACACAAGCTCAAGATACTTTCACGTTTTATTCTACAACATAAAACACACCAGTTATACCCCACTCGTGATTTATTAAAACTGTTACGTTTCGGTTGCTAACAAGTTGGTAAATGGGACTACAGGCGCAGTCGGAGACATTAAACATCATCACGCCGAACAGTTTTTCAATTTACAGTATTTTCCAGTCGTAGTATAATTTATAGTACAATTAATTGTAGAATAACCAATTAATAGTTTCCTGCATTTTATATTGTTGTTCGACAATGTTTATTGCTTTGCCCCGAAACAAAACGATAGATGAAATGTGGTACTTTATTCACTAAAATAAGTTTGATTTTACCATATCCAAAAACTCGCTCACTCTGCTGTTATTTAGTAGATTAAATGCACTAGAATTTTAGTGAATAGTACGTGAAGACATGTTTTTAATTAATATTCATATTAATCAAGGATTTATAGACTGTTAATGCACTTTATTTCAAAATGTACAGAAATACGTGCTTTCATATGTCCTTTAGTTATGATCATTTCATTTATTCACTATATTATTTATTACTAATGTCTCATTTCAGTTTTAGTTTGGCTCTAGTTTTGTATTTATTCCAGTTTATATGAAAAGGTTCATGTAGCGTGGATTAAAATTCATATACAGAGTAAATCCCTTTCACTGAACACGTTAAAAATAAGTTTGAAAAAGTTGTCGGGAGCAGGTGGTGGTGACGTTGAAGGCGAGCGACCGTGCTGGTGCAGTTCGTTTATAGCCCAAGTTTAGCTTTTAAACGTGGGGTAAGCGATTTCTGGTAGCCTATGTTGACATTTGAAATCACCAAAACAAACACGCCCCTACCCCAAAAGGGTCTCGCCCCTATTTTGATAGCTCCGCCCCACACAGACGTACACAACCCAGGCAACGATTAGTTCTGTGAAACAAAGCAAAACCAATGTTACACCGTGTCTACACCGGACGCGAGTGGCGCGGCGCGACAAAATACTATAGAACTCATTATAATCAGTGATGCTGTCTACACCATAGATATATATA